GTTCGAGCAGAAGCTTTTCTGCTTGAGCCTTTGTTGTTAAGTGTAATGACCCGGTCATTTTCTTCCTTTTCTTTTTTCCTCAAATTTTGCGGATAAATTTTTTCCGTTGTGTTTTCATTCTGTGGACGGTTTTTCGTCACTTAGTGTTGTCTTGAGTGCTTGGAAATGGTTTTTGAGACTCTTTTTCATGGATTGACAACTTCCTTGGAGGACCGAGTCATTTCCATAATTTTCGTTGTTCGACACTATTCACTTTTTGTCCTTATTCCTATTTCGTCCTTTTCCTTATTTCGTCTTTTCTCCGTTTGTCACTTTGTTGGCAAAACCTCACTTCTTGTGCTCGGAGTTGATTTTTGACTTCATCTATCTTTATCGTGAGTGGTTTCCACGAAATACGTATCTTTACTTTTGTAGGAAAGTACTCTGGTTGCTCTCGGTGTCCATAGGGGCATGAATGTATAATTCTTTGAAATTAATTTCTTTTCTTGGGGTGTTTTTTGTAAATATCTTTTGAAGATATTTTATTTTAGGGGTATTTAAGAAAATATCTTTTGGAAGATATTTACATTCTGGGGCAGTTTCGTAGTTAACCCTTTTTTGTGGGGGCCATTGTGCAATTAACGAAAGTTATTACAAAATGTCTCGTCTAGAGCCTGGATCCTCATACGGGATTCATTTTCACTTTTTGTTGACTTGTAAATTCATAGAATTCCGTTCTGGTCGTTTTTCTCCAGTTTCAGAGTTTCTGGACCCAGTTGCCGCCGAACTTGTTCGGGGCATAACTTTCTACTCGGGACTCAGTTTTTGATGCTGTTTCTTTCGTTATTCATATTTTCTCATTTTGAATCTTTTTCATTCATGAAGTTTTGCTGTTTGAGCGTGTTTGCTCAAAATTCACTTTTCCGGACCCGGCGGGGCACTTTTTGAGATTTTCTATAAATAGGGGTCCTAAAATCAAAAAGATCAGATTTCTTCTCTCTCTCCTCTCTCTTGGCCAGCCCTCCATGGCAGCCATGGCTGCTGGCCTACTTTCTTCTTTTTCGGCCACTTCCCTCGAGTGAAATACCTTTGTACATTAACGTTTATTGCTTGTCTTGATGCCGCACACCTTTTGCCCTTATTAGAACCCATTTCTAGCCAAATTTTGAGGTTGGGTTTGAAGTCAAGTTGTGATTTTCATGGGTCCTCTTTGGAGTTTATCATTCATGGCGTTGTCCCCGACAAAACCCCGAAGTATTGTTAGATTCGGAGCCGTTTCATTTTGATGGCTTTTGAGATTTTCATCTCAAATTTAGGTAGGGGGTGTCTTAGGATCATTTTAAGCCATTTGGATGGCGATAACATTATATGTTATGGTTTGGTATGATATGAAAACAACCGTTTTGGTATTGGTATGTTTTTAGTAGAAATCGGATCCATGTTTGGTAACGATTGTTTTATTTTTGATAATTGTATATCAGAAATATGATAACGCGTTTGGTATTGTCATGCATTTTAAGGAATCCAAAAACAAAACACGTTTGGGACTAGTGTTTTGTTATTAAAAATTCTGAATCAATAACAGAATACCTGTTTGGTAAAGACTGTTTTGTTTTTGTTTTGAAAAATTATATATATGAATACAATTATAAGTTTATATGTAAAATAGTCTATTTTTCTTTATGATTTGAGATAATTTGTGAAAAAAAAAAAGAAAAAAAATTCTGCATTAGAGTTGGGAAATTTTTTTTTTGTTAAATTTACATGTATAATGGCAACCAAACTACTTTGTAATAATGAATAAATCTGCATAAACATGATTAATGACAACCAAATTACAAATCTAACTTTGTAATAATCTTTCAATGAGAGTAGATCTTTGCACTCCATTTATCTTTTTCTTTGGCTTGCATTCCATTTAACTTTGTTTTGTTTCATATATATATATATATATATATATATATATATATTCATGATGAATGTGAGAGAGAGAGAGATCCTTGTAGTTGAAACTAACAAGAAACAAAGCCAAAACGTTAATCATCTTGAATTGGTCAGAGTTGAAATTTGGTGAACATTGAAGCTTGTGAATAGTTTTACTTCACTTAGATTAGTTTAAAATTTTGTAGTGGAGGTCCTTCAAATTGGTAATATTTTTTTTTTGTTTAGTCATAAGACCATTTCCCCTTTTGTTGAGTATTTATTTTGATAACGGACTTGTGAATATTTTATACAATATCCAACCATAAGCAGAATTGATAAATATGAATAAAGATTAAAAGTAAGCAATCAAGGAAGATCCCTCTTACAAGACTGAACAACATTCACATATATACTTCGACGTATAGTTTTGCTTTATACATCACAATCTTAAGAACTTGAGTGTTGCACCATTCACATATATACTTCCACGTATAAGGAGCTAGACATTCCTTTAAAATAGTATGTGTGTACACACACAATTCATTACACCTACATAAAATGTACACACAACTGGAGATCACTAATATTCATTCCATAAAATGTACACCCACTTTTTTATACTTGCATAGGCCTCCATTTGATTAACTTAGAGATCACTAGCTTTCTGGAGTTACAGCAACTGGAGAATGCTTCCTATCAATCCCACTGGTGCCACTGCCTACAACTTACTGCCATGTCCTTCAATGTAGTAGCAAAAAATGAATTTGAATGTAAAACAAGACATTACCTATAGTAGCAAAATATAAAGCAGAGTTAAATTCAATTTTTTTTATTTTTTATTTTAAAAATCCGGCATGACTTCCCCTTAAAAATGGACATTTCCAAAATTTCAAAACACAATAAACCCAAGGGACACCGCCCACAAAATTCATTTAACAAGGGACACCGCCCACAAAATTATTTCAACAAGGGACACCGCCCATAACATTTATTTAACAAGGGACACCGCCCACAAAATTATTTCAACAAGGGACACCGCCCACAAAATTCAATTTACAAGGGACACCGTCCACAAATTTAATTCAAGCAAGATATATCTAACCTTCTTTCAGGCTAAGCTGCAAATTTGGAGTGTAAATGACCTCATACAAAACAAAACACATGAACAACATTAGAGAAAAACAAAATAACACACGGTAGGAATGAAATAATTAGAAGTAGTAAACAAGATATATCTAACCTTTTTTCAGGCTAAGCTGCAAATTTGGAGTGTAAATGACCTCATGCAAAACAAAACACATAAACAACATTAGATAAAAAAAAAATAACACACGGTAGGAATGAAATAATTAGAAGTAGTAAACAAGATATATCTAACCTTTTTTTAGGCTTAGTTGTAAATTTAAAGTGTAAATGACCTCATGCAAAACCAAACACATGAATAACATTAGAGAAAAACAAAATAACACACGGTAGGAATGAAATAATTAGAAGTAGTAAATAAGATATATCTAACCTTTTTTCAGGCTTAGTTGTAAATTTAAAGTGTAAATGACCTCATGCAAAACAAAAGACATGAACAACATTAGAGAAAAACAAAATAACACACGGTAGGAATGAAATAATTAGAAGTAGTAAATAAGATATATCTAACCTTTTTTCAAGCTTAGTTGTAAATTTAAAGTGTAAATGACCTCATGAAAAACAAAAGACATGAACAACATTAGAGAAAAACAAAATAACACACAGTAGGAATGAAATAATTAGAAGTAGTAAACAAGATATATCTAACCTTTTTTTTTCTCTAATGTTGCAAATAGAGTGTAAATGACCTCAGTAGCAAATTTTACAAATACCCTATAGCTCACTCCCAAAATGACAGAGAAGAGAACACAACAGCAACTAATACGCAGTTCAAAATATACCATTTAAGTATATATTACATACCAAATGAAACACATGAAATTAACTAAATACGTATTACTGTCATATATTACAAAAGATGGAAGTTTATCTAACTTCATCTTTCAATAACAATGATAATGAGCAACAAGAGGACAATCACAATAAACATGATTGTGATAGCAAGACATCCACAACCTAGGAAGAGCATGTACTTCTGTCTACATTGTTCATTTTGAATCATTGCAATGACTCTGTCCAATTCAGATTGAACCTGTTCTTCAACTTGTGCACCTTGGTGTAACTCATCCACCCACATAAATGCATTCATATGTGACTATAAGAAATATAAATTATACTATTAGGAAACAGTAACAGAAATAGCACCTAAAAGTAATTCACCATACCTCCCGAGCTGGACACCTATAGAATTGTCGACCATCATTTTTTGGAGTTCGAGCCCTATACAGATGCATAGGACCTCTACCACATGCACATTGTGGTCGCTCACCTTCAAGCCTATACATAAGTGCGCCTACAAGTACTAAAGCATTTAATATTTGATGTCCTAATATAATTAGTTTTTATAGTTATCCATAAATAAGGAGCATCTGAGTTTAATTTACGTAATATAATTAGTTATTATAGTCATCCATATTTTAATTCTACACACTATTAGACAGTTTTATAATTAGTGATTACAGTGCTCCCAAATTAGGTTGGCAATACCATCACTATAAATATCCATCTGTCGTATCTGTGTATTAGTAGCACTGACCACCTGAACATCGTCATCCACATCAGGTTTATTTTGTGAAGATTGAGGGCTTTCAGAATCAAAAATTTCATCAGATTCACCTTGGGATCTTATGAAATTATGCAATGTACAACAGGCAATGACAATAAGAACTTGAGTGTCAAAGTGATAAGGGGGCATTTGCTTCAATATAGCGAATCTCATCTTTCCCAACCTAAAACATCGCTCTATGATATTCCTCAATGACGAGTGCCTAAAATTGTACACCTCTTCTCTACCACGTGGTCCTCTAGTATGTCTACGATATTCCTGCATATGGTAACGTTGACCTCGGTAAGGGGCCAAAAACCCCGGTTGATTGGCGTACCCAGAGTCGATTAAATAAAACTTACATGTCATGTTAAGTACGTTAAGTATTAAAATTAACGTATTTGTAATGTTAAATGCACAAATATGGAAAGGTAATATTTTTACCTTCGGGTGGTGATGGAAAATTGAAATCCTCATTCTGAATGCACTCATTTAAAATCTTCGAATCATTAGCAGACCCTTCCCACCCTGTTATAATGTATGTGAATTTCATATCAAATGAACACACGGCCATGACATTTTGGGTCGTATCACCCTTTCTACCACGAAAGGGTATTTGTTGGTCAACTGGCACTACAGCATGGATATAAGTACCATCTATGGCTCCTACACAATTCTTAAAGCATGGGTAAAACTTTAGATTGTTCTTTATCTCTTTAGGAATTTCATTCAAATCCGGGGGAACAATAATCTTTGTCCCTAACTCACAAATTAACTTTAATACAGTATAAAAGTGATATAAAATTGTGGATGTAGAGTGTTGGAATCTTTCAGCAACAACACGATTCCTTTCATTGTGAGACACGGTAAGTAGGAAAATTGCAACTTGTTCTTCTACCGTTAGAAATGTTGAATCTTTCAATCCTAACAATTTCAACTCACGACACAATGCCCTAAAGGTGTTGGGGTACATCCGAAAATTTTCATAACACTTATCTTCATGTCCATTTAAGACCTCGAATATGTAATCTTCCCCTTGTAACATGGAATCCCTACAACGTTGCTTATCAAAATGTTTATAATAGTACTCATATACGGCTGCGATCAATACAAGAATTTCCTCCTCATCATCATCATCATAAATGGTTAATATTGTCCTTATATCCATAGCTACTATCCTATTTAAGAATAAACAGAAGCAGTTATTGTAACAAAAATTAAGCGAAATGGAAAAGACATACCAAATCATACAATTATCCAGCAATAATGTAAAAGCAATAGATGTAGAACATAAATAGTTTTCCAGCATTAATTTAAAAGCAGTAGATAGAAGAATTAAATACAGTCTTCCAACAATAATGTAAAAGCAGAAGATAAGAAAAATTCATTACAGTCATCCAACAGTAATGTAAAAGCAGTTATAAAACAGTCATCCAAAAGCACATAAAAGTAAGATACCGAAGAAATCATAGAGGCTGATTCATCACCCACCCAACCTTCCTTTTATCAGGAATGCGAAGAAATATGTCCCTCCACACCTTGTCCTCACCAAACATCCTTATGATCTTAGCATAATGGTATCATCAATCCCCACTAATGTGTTGACGATCTTAACGCACTCTTCAAGCTGGGGATCTATTTCTTTTTCTTTTTTACTAGGAGATGTCACTTCAGGAATTTCGGTAAATCGAGATGGTTGACAACTAGAAGATGATTCTGCTATGGCTTTTGCAATTTTATCAGCTTTCGCGTTCCCAATATTAGTCAAACATCCCATCACTAAAGTGATCGGTTGATCAACTATACATCAACCTTCGCAATAGCACGAATCATTGTAAAATAGGGCTATTGGTCGGGTAAGTCGAACCACTGGGACTGTGCTAGTCTAATACAACCTAAATGTCTAGAATCATTCTTAGAATGATGAAGGGTTTATAGAGGTTTTGTTGGATGTCACTTAAACTAGGAAATTAAAAATGCATAAAACAATAAATTGCAAGAATTCAAGGGAGTGAAGTACAAGTAAAGAAGGCTAGGGAAATGAATCCACCTCCATCCCTATACACACGCTAGGTTAAGATTAATTTAAGGGAAAAACAACATATATGATAGTCATGATACATAACAATACTAGGTTGCTATAATATCCTCAAGAAGTTCATTTAAATAGAAAGGCAAGAATAAACCATCAAAGGTTCACATGATCAACTACCTAAACTAAAATGTAGCTTAGAACATGCTTACTAAGTCAAGGATTATCAAGCCCTAATTTAAATGGTGAATGCACATAAAGCTAAGAATCAAGTATAGACCATCAAAAGGAAACCCTAAGCCATGAACTATCTAGGTTCTCCAACTCCATGCCATTAAAACCATTCCATGATATAACTTCCATTGTCACCATGGAAGTGCAAGCAATATGATTAAGAAAAGTAACCATCCAAGACAAGATGAATAACTCACAATAATCATTTATAAACATTCAACATTCATTACAAAAAAAATGAGGCTCTTGATCATGGAAAGACTATCAAAAATACATTGTAATCCCCAAAAATAAACTATACTAACACATGCTTACAAGGGAGGGGTTTCATCTCCTCCCTAGATGAGGTTTAGTTGCCCATTGGTGAGCTAGAAGAAGGAAGAAGCATCATCCTCATCTCCATTTTCGTGCACCCTCTTTGGAGCTTCAAGAACACACCTTTCTTTTGCTCTCTTCTCTCTCCTCCCTCTTGTCAAAATGAAGGATGTGATGCATGTGGCCCTTAGTTGCCTTCTGTCTTTCAACCAAGCTCTCTCTCTCCTCCAAAGACATTCCCAACCACTCCATAAAGAAGGAGGGTGGAAATGTGGAAACCAATGCACAAGTGGGCTGAAGAGGAAGCCATTTCCGAGCTGCATTCTGCCTGAATTTCGAGTGCTCAAAATAGGGCCTCGAGCACTCAAAAATGGAGCAGATTACTCCATGCTTGCTTTGCTTCGCCCAGATCTACTTTGGTAAAATGGCTATAACTTTGTGCTCCGAACTCCAAATGACAACCCATTTGAAGATTTGGAAAGCTGATTTAGAGCTCTAAAAACTTTATGTTTTGGTGGAGATCCAATTCTCAAGTCTGATTGGTCGAAATTGAAGAGCAAGGCAGAAACTCATTGCTGCCAGGCAGTTCTGAGCACCTCTAATAAGAAGATCATAACTCTTTGCTCCGAACTCCGAATGATGAACCGCTTGAAGATTTGGAAAGCCGATTCAGAGCTATACATCTTTCATGTTATGATGGAACTCCAGTTCTTGAATTTCCTAGGTCAAAAATGGCGACAAAAGTCAGGTTCCACTGTTGCCAAGCTTCAGCATTGTGCCTTTGCATTCAAAATTTCAACAAAACATCATTCTTGCTTCTTTTAAGCCAATGAACCTAAAAATAAACAAAAATGCACAAATGAAGATAATCTACATAATAAAATCAAATAATGGACTTAACTAATGCAATTTAGGGCGCTTATCATAAAGACATTGTTTCTGAAAAAGTTTCTTTCTTCTGTTTCTTAGCTACAGGTTTGGGAGTAGGACTGAGGTCAATAGGTCCTTCTAAATTAGGTCGTTCTACATCAGTCATGCCCACATTGCCCTCAGTGTTATGAATTTGAGTTTCATGTGTTGCCACTTGAGGCATTGTTAGCACTTGGTGAGGTCTGGGTGGCTTTGTAGAAGGATGAACATACTTGCCAGCAGCATGTGTATTCCCAAAAATCCTTACCATCTGCTCATAATTCTTACACCCTTGTTTTTTTTGTTTTTTTGCCATCCTTGAGAACCTACACGTTATTAGCTTACAATTATTGTTCATCAAACCCTTTTAATATTAAATCACTAATTACTAACTGTATGTATGGTAAATAGACACGTATTGAAATACTAACCTTGCACAATCGAATCTATCTTTCAGCTTCCAACTCAATCATTCCAGTTTCACTGTTATACCCTAAACCAGTCTCAGATAATATTTGTTTGCAATCTTTGTACAATGCTCTTATATTATTGAATTTTTGTCTACATTGGTCCTTCGTGTACTTCTTTCCAGTTTCCAATAACATTGTGTCCACAATATGTGTCCACCCATTTGGATTAAAAGTCATGCCTGTAGGATTTCCTTTTCCAACCTCTTCCTCCATCAAGAGCATGAATTTCTCTTGATGGGCATCACACCAAACAGCGGCATCAGCCTGTTCAACAACTACAACATCCTCACCATTGTCAACATCAAGAGAATGAATGTCTCTTGAAGGGTATTGCTCAACATTGTCATTGTTCATGTCCATCTGATTATTATTAAGTAATTGAACAGTTTAGTACATTGAATTGTGTTTTGACTCATAATTCAACACGTCAATGATAAGGAAAAAAGGTACTGTCTATAAAACACTTCAATAAGGGGCAAAAAATAAGAAAAAATGAAGTAAAAATGTGATAAAAATTAGTCTCCTTCCATTTTCTTCAGTTCAAATTCTCACCATTTTCTTCATTTTCTTCAGTTCAAATTCTATTTGTCAAAATCAATTAAATCAACCACATGATTTTCTTAAAAATCAGTTGCCTTCCTCAATTTCAAAGGCAATTTCTATATAAGCTAGGTGATTCAAATTGGATAAGTTTCCATTTCTCTAGTTGATGTTCTCCTAAAGGTTGAGAAGAGCAGTGATCTCAACTTCTCTCTCACAACTGACAACATCAAAGCTGTGATTTTGGTATGTATATATTCATACAATTTTACAATGTTTCATGTATATATTTATATCCACACATAATACATGTATACATGAAGCACTGCAAAGATTAAGATATAAAACAATCTTCAACATTGTAAAAATTTTTTTTACAGAAATAAAACAAAAATTGTAGTCAAAATTTAGTATTTGAGGCTAGCTCTTTGTTGCAGTTTGTACACTAACTACTAGTTTAGCGTAGTCGAAATTTAGTATTTGAGGCTAGCTCTTTGTTCCAGTTTGTACACTAACGACTAGTTTAGCATATCTAAGAGCAAGGTGAAGGAAAGTGGTACATAACAGTATAACACACTGGATGAGACTCATCTGAACTGAAAAAGCACTTACGAAGAGCAAGGTGAAGGAAAGTGGTACATAACAGTATAACACACTGGATTGTTCTTTATCTCTTTACGAAATTTCAGGGAAATATTATTGCAAGCACATTTCACAGAAGTAATACCTCTGGATGGCAACAATCATATTTATGTTTCAGATGTGTGCATAATATACTGAGAGAATATTCTAATCATTTAGTGCATAGTGAGTGTTCCAGTAAATAAATGTATAATAGTATTCTTTAGGCCATTCTGTAGAAACTTAATTGTAACCCTATGAATTTTTGTATAATATCAACAAATATGCAAATGTGAATTGACAAGACTTGACAAATTATCAGTGCATTTTTTTGAAAGAGATGTAAATGTTTATTCTTTTTCTTATATTACCAATGAATATTAAAACATTCAACAAGCGATTCGTTCTCTATTTAGTTATGTGAACAAAAGTTTGTGTTCCTCTTCTGTTGATTTAATTTCTTTTTTGGATTCTTTGGGGCCTTAGACCCTGGTTTCTTTTATGTCTACGGGACGAGTTCCCCTATTGAACGCCTTTTTTTAATATTATTACTTATAAAAATAAATAAATAAATAAGGCTGTTCTTAAAGATATAAATTCAGTTTTAATGCATTTCTTGTGGAAGGGTAGTTCTTTAATGAATGCTAGTTCTAAAGTAGCTTGGGAGGATGTTTGTTACCTTAAAAAGGAAGGTGGTTTGAGTCTTTGGAGTTGAATGCTTGGAACAGGGCCACTATGGCTCAGAACTTATGGGAAGTTATTCAAGTGAAGCCTCAATCTCTATGGACTGAATGGGTTAAAGTTCATCTCATTAGAAATAGAGACTTTTGGTCTATTAAAATTCCTCAAAGTAGTTCTTGGAGATAGAGGAAAATCTTACAAATTAGAACTGACTTTAGAATGTTTATTATGCATAAAGTGGGTAATGTGACACACACTTGGTTATGGAATGACTATTGGCTCCCTATGGGCCCTATTGTGATGAGAATAGGTAATAGAGTCATCTTTGACTCAGGTTTGGATGAACAAGCAACTGTGGCTAATATTATAGTTAATAACCAGTGGCAGTGACCTCAAACCAACACCCTTGAGCTTATTGAGCTAAGGAATGCCATACCTTCAGATTTCCAGCCTTTCTAAATAATGATCAAGTTATTTTGTTACCTAGTAAGGGGCAGTTTACCATTAAAACTGCTTGGGAAAATATTAGACCTAAAAAAAATGTTGTTGCTTGGAATGAGACTGTCTGGTTTAAAGGAGCTATTCACAAGCATTCTTTTATCTATTCGCTTGCCTGTTTAAATAAATTGTTAACTCAGAACAAATTACTGAGATGGGGGGTGATTTCTAGAATTAGTTGTGTTTTCTGCAGGCAAAACATTTAGGACATAAATCACTTGCTCTTCCAATGCTGCTTTACTAAGAAACTATGGAATTATGTTGTTGCTACTTGCTAGAAGCTTACTGCCCTGGCCTAATGGTAATTGGTGTACTCTTTTGAACTGGGCTATTTTGACTCTTGGAGGAAAGTCTTTGGTAACAGTTTTGAATAAAATGGTTCTTGCTGCTTCAATCTATGTTCTTTGGAGGGAAAGGAATTCCAGAATTTTTGCAATGAGTATAAAAGGAATTGATATAGACTGTTAGACTGAAGCT